TGGGTATGTAAAATTATATTTAAACATAAGCTTTGAATTACAACAACAACAACAAACAAAAAAACCCAAAAAACTTGTTCATTCGAATTCGAAGAAGAGCAGAAAGGGAAACATTTATTAAAACACAACTTACGGCTTCCCCCCAGGAATGCTGCTGAGAGAAGGTCGCATTGCACCATGTGAGCCATGGGCCTCAAAACCCACCTGGGAACACAACAAAAGTCACTCAATATAAGTCACAAACAAGACACTTCTGTATGGTGTCATATTACCTTTACATTAAAAAAACCAAACTAAACTAAAACAAACGTATTTCAGACAATTGTTATTCTGTTGGAATAAGACATAGCTGAAGTGGGAACAGAACAAAAGTCACTCAATAGAAGTCAAAAACAAGACACTTCTGTATGGTGTCATATCATATTACATATTTCAGACAATTGTTATTATATTTGAATAGGAAATAACTGAAGTGGGAACACAACAAAAGTCAACCAATAGAATTCAAAAACAAGATTCTACTGTATGATGTCATATTACTTTCACATTTAATTATTTTTAAAAAAACATATTTCAGCCAATTGTTATTATGTTTGAATACAATTCAAAAACAAGATTCTACTGTAGGGTGTCATATTACTTTTACATAAAAAAACAAAAACAAGCAAATATATTTCAGACAATCGTTATTAGATCTATATATTTTTTTTTAAATAGCTTAAGTTCTACAAAGGCTTGCTATTACTGGTGGTTATCAGGCTGCCCTTCTCACACAAACATAAACCATCTGAATGGACATCTTTTCTCTTCTCTATCTATTTTACCTTTAAAACCATTGTATAAAGGGGGCGAGAGACACAACAATTTTACACCCCCACCAAACACATTTTTTTTTTCATAAGAGTTTTCTACACTTGCAACAAAATAAGGTCGTATAAGTGCCGAAGAATAGATGTGCTACAAGAGACTCAGAGTAACAAACAGAAAAAAGAAGGATGGATGATAAAGATGATAGACGTTTGATAGGAAAGAAGAAATAAACTACACCAGAGCACCCTACAATCACCAAACACAGACCAACAAGACTGACAGTGCACCGCCTTCTTACAACAACTACAACAACAACAACTTTACACCCTCACCCCACCAAACACAGACCAACAAGACAGACAGTACACCACCTTACAACAACAACAATGTTATCCCCCC